TGACCAGTCTTCCAACAAGAAGGCTAAGTTGGTTTGTTGGAATTGTAACAAACCGGGTCATTTCAAGAAAGATTGTCGTCTTCGCAAAGTGAACAAGGATGGTGTTGGACCAAGAGGATCTAAGGATCCAGAAAAGCAACAAGGTCAGATTTTTGTTTCCATGCGGAATTCTAAATATATTAAGAATTATGTTTGTGTGATTTCTGAAGCATTTTATGTGTAGAATGATGATGTTGCATTGTGGGTTGATTCGGGAGCAACAAACCATATATGTAAAGATCTTCGTTGGTTCAAGGAATGTCAACCAATTGAAGATGGATATGTGGTGAAAATTGAAAATGTTGCAACTGAACCAATCAAGGGTTTAGGATCTGTTTTACTTTACTTTACTTCTGGAAAGTGTTTGTGTCTAAACAATGTTTTATATGTACCGGGGATTCAAAATAATCTTGTGTCTGAAATTGTTTTAAATAATTGTGGTTACAAACAAGTATTAGAAAGTGACAAGTATATCTTGTCAATACATGGTTCTTTTATGGGATTTGGATATGTATGTAATGGAATGATTAGACTTAATATCAATTATCCTTTTATTGATAATTCTGGTTGCATGACTTCTACTAGTATAGCAATAATTTTAATAAATATGAATTATGGCATGCTAGACTAGGACACATTCATTACAAGAGATTAAAAGACATGTCTAAAACGAGTTTAATTCTTGGTTTTGATTTGCAAAATAATAAAAAATGTAAAACATGCATGTTAACTAAAATTACAAGACAACCTTTCAAAGATGTTGTTAGGGAAAGCAAGGTGTTGGAACTTATACATAGTGATTTATGTGATTTCCATGCAACACCTTCCCTTGGAAACAAAAAGTATGTTGTTACTTTTATTGATGATGCATATAGATATTGTTATGTCTATTTGCTACATTCTAAGGATGAAGCACTTGATAAATTTCAAATTTATAAACAACAAGTTGAGCTTCATAAAAATGAATTAATAAAAGTCTTGCGTACTGATAGAGGTGGTGAGTATTATGATCCATTTTATTTTGAATCAACTGGAATAATACATCAAACCATAGCTCATTTTACACCGCAACAAAATGGTGTAGCTGAAAGGAAGAATAGGACTTTGAAAGAAATGGTTAATTCCATGTTGTCCTATTCTGGATTAAGTGAATGGTTTTGGGGTGAGAAATGTTAAATGCATGTTACATCTTGAATAGAACTCCAAATAAAAGGAGTAAGAATACTCCTTATGAACTTTTGTGTAAAAGTTACCAAATTTGAGTTATCTCAAAGTTTGGGGTTGTCGAGCAGTTGTGAGGCACACTGAACCCAAAAGGAAAACGTTGGGTGAATGAGGTATAGATTTTATATTTTTTGTATATTTTGAGCATTCCAAATCTTGTAGATTTTATGTTTTAGAATCTAATGACTCTGTGTCTGTAAACACTGTTATAGAGTCAAGAGATGTTATCTTTGATGAAGAAAGATTTACATCTATACCTAGACCAATGGACATGATTCAACAATCTTTCAGCAAGAACACAACTCAAGTTGAAGATGCTTCTGGTGGTACAAGTTATGTGCCTGAACTTAGAAAGAGTACTAGAGCTAGAAAAGCTAATTAATTTGGATCCGATTTTCAACTATATTTAGTTGAAGGAACACGGGATGAGACTGTGTCTCAACATCAATATTGTTTTAATATTGAGGAGGATCCAAAGACTTTCAGTGAAGCTATGGCTTCTAGGGATGTTCATTTCTGGAAAGAGGTAATTCAGGATGAGACTAATTCTATCATGCATAACAATACTTGGGTATTGTCTGATTTACCTCCTGGTTGCAAGGCATTAGGATGTAAATGGATCCTTAAAAGAAAAATGAAGGTGGATGGCACAATTGATAAGTATAAAGCCAGATTGGTTATCCAAGGCTTTAGACAAAAGGAAGGCATTGATTTATTTGATACTTATGCTCCTATTGCCATAATTTCTACTATTAGATTATTATTAGCTCTTGCAGCTATACATAATCTTGTGATTCACCAAATGGATGTGAAAACCGCATTCTTGAATGGTGACTTGGATGACGAGATATACATGAAACAACCTGAAGGGTTTGTGATGCCTGGAAATAAACACAAAGTGTGCAAGTTAAAGAAATCATTATATGGTTTGAAACAAGAACAAAAACAATGGCATCAAAAGTTTGATGATGTTGTCTTGTCTAATGGTTTTGCATTAAACCAAGCTGACAGGAGTGTATATATCAAATTTGATACTTCTGGTAAAGGAGTCATGATTTGTTTATGTGTGGATGATATGTTGATTTTTGGTACTGATTTAGAAGAAGTTGATAAAACCAAGAAATTCTTATCATCAAGTTTTGAAATGAAAGGCATGGGGGAGGCTGAGGTCATTCTTGGTATAAGAATTAAACAAGGAAACAATGGGATTTCAATTTCTCAATCTCATTACATTGAGAAGATATTAAAAGAGTTTAATTTTGAGAATTGTTCTCCTGTTAGCACTCCTATAGATCCTAGTCTTAAGCTTCTACCTAATAAAGGATATCCAATGTCTCAACTTGAATACTCAAGGGCTATTGGTTGTCTAATGTATGATATGATTAGTACTAGGTCTGATATAACATATGTTGTGGGAAGGCTTACTAGATATACTAGTAATCCTAGTACACATCATTGGCATGTTGTGAGTAGAGTATTCAAGTATTTGAAAGGGACCATGAATTATGGTTTAACTTATAGTGGATATCCTTCTGTTTTGGAAGATTATTCAGATACCAACTGGATTAACAATTTAGAGGATCACTCATCTACTAGTGGTTGGGTGTTTCTTCTTGGAGGAGGTGCCATTTCTTGGGCATCCAAGAAACAGACTTGTATTACTAACTCAACCATGGAATTTGAGTTTGTTGCATTGTCTGCTGCTGGTAAAGAAGCTGAGTGGCTAAGGAATTTGATTTATGAAATTCCATTATGGCCCAAACTGATATCTACCATTTCTATCAGATGTGATAGTGTTGCAACCTTAGCTAAGGCTTATAGTCAAGTGTATAATGGAAAGTCTAGACATTTAGGTGTTAGACATAGCATGATTCGTGAGCTCGTGAGCTCGTCATGACTGGTGTGATATCTGTGGAGTTTGTAAGAACTCAGTTGAATTTAGCTGATCATCTAACCAAAGGGTTAGCAAGAGATCTTGTGCACAAGGCGGCTGTAGGGATGGGTTTAAAGTCCACTTAAAATCTTTTATATTGAGATACCCAATTCCCATCTAATGTAATATTAGATGTTGAATTCAATGTAGAAAGCTTGATATTTGAAGATTGGAACACATTATTATCATCATCCCAAGGTATGTGTTCAGTACTGCAAGTTAAGGAGGTTGAATTTGTATTATTAATAGTTCTTTTGAAAATTTGCATTTGCAGGTGCAAGAATAGGACTACCTATATAAGCATGAAGTTTAGATGCTTCAAGAAGTTAGGACTTGGCTTTGATATGCTTATTGAAGGATGGGACACAAGCTAGTAAAATATAGTGTCAAGTTAGAACTTATGAGAATATAAACTGTTGTGTGTATTATTTTTCATGTATTCACTATGAATATAAAGGGTTCAATCCTTAGTGACACCCTGATATTCGAATATTTGGATTGAATAATATACTAATGTGAAATTCAATCGTCGTGACATTTCATTTATGAATTAGTTTGTTGTTATTATGTTTTGTTTTAAGTTAATCAAGATTACGCTTAAATGGGGGAGGTTTGTTGGTGATTTGTTTCACTAATTGTATTTAAGTGTAATTGGTTGACTTTGTTGACCAAAATCAATCTTGATGAATATTAAACAAGTAAGGAATGTGTGGAGTGCACACTTGTTTAAGTTTATTCAAGATTAAAAGTAGACTGTTATTTAGGGGTGAAGCCCCTGAACGAATGGGGGTCCGGGGGCAGCGCCCCTGGGAGCGGGGTCCAAGGGGCGGCAGCCCCTGGCGGGGTCCAAGGGGCAGAACCCCTGGCTGGGGTCGAGCTGACCCGGTTTTTTACTTTGTTTTGACCCTTATAGAAAGAACCCGGATTAGTAACAGTTTTCAAACATCAAACTGTTTTTTGTGACAGTTTTCAGACATACAACTGTCTGGTGACAGTTTTCTGATAAAAAGGTACTTAACTAATTTTGGTCTTCATTTGATGGTACACACGAAATTCATAACAACCAGATTTTCTGTTCTTGCTCTCAATTTCTGAGTCTTATCCGATTAAAGATTGAGAGTACCACCCAAATACTTTAATCTGAAAGTGATACTATAATTCTCAGAATTTCCAAATCTTTCTATAACCCAAATTTCTAACAGTATGTACATTCCCAAGAATTAGTAGGACAACCGACAAGGACTTTATTAAGGATTTGATTACCGGTTGGTAACCGGGTAAAGATGATTAAATGGAACGCATTTTCTTTAAGGGTAGCAAATAACTAATAAAAAAATATATTGGGGTTAAATTAAAACGAGAGTTATAAATAATGATTTTTTATGGTATAAATCTTTAGTCTATTGCAAAATGAACCAAAGTTGCTTTTCGTTAGACACTAAACTTTTTTTTCTATATTATGATATTGTTTATTATTTTAAAAATTATAATTTTTAATCGGTAAGTAATTAAAAAAATAAAATTAAATCATTAAAAAATAGAATTAAACCATGCTTGTTTCTTCCAGATTTATTAAATGTAAAAGAAACATAGAAAATTAATATTTAAACTTCTCATTAAAAAATTGATGGTAGTAGCCAATTTCTTATTTGATATCAACTTATCAAGTTTCCTATTTGTTATATATTTATCATTTAATATATGATAAGTCTTTTTGAATATACTTTTAATGAAAAAGACCAATGGCAGATCTGTAAATAATGTAAATAACAAGGGCATGGTGTTAGAGTCTGGCATTCACAAGCAAACAAACACAAGCAAAGGGATTAGTTGTGGACGATACTCGATAGAGAAGATAGATTCGCTCGAGAGCTTCGCCTGAGACATTTATGGCGGCAGCTTCTTCCAGGGCTTTCTTGCTCTCTCGATTCGCCGACATCTCACTCTTTCACCACCAACCACCTCCCTACTCCCACCACCTCCTCATCCGTCCCTTGCCGCCTTCCTTCTCCGCCATCACCACCTCCAAGAAACGTCCAGGTCCTGTTGCTATTGTCAGCTGTCTTATATCCGGAGTAGATGGCGGTGGCGTCTCCGATGAGTTTGTGTCCACACGCAGGTCCGTCTCGTTCGATCGTGAATTCTCCGTCATCGCCAATATGCTGAAGAAGATCGAGCCGTTGGATACTTCCGTGATCTCCAAAGGCGTTTCCGATTCGGCTAAGGATTCCATGAAGCAGACCATATCTACGATGCTAGGGTTGCTTCCATCAGATCAGTTCTCCGTTATGGTTAGAGTTTCGAAACGTCCTCTTGATCGCTTATTGTCCTCTTCGTTAATCACAGGGTAAATCATAAGTAACTGTGTTTTTGTTTATTAATCGTTACATTTGATTAATCTAGTCAATTGGATCTGTTATTGATTGCAATTGATGTTTGTTATGAAGGTATACCTTGTGGAATGCTGAATACCGGATTATGTTAATGAGAAACTTTGAAATTTCTCCTTCTAATGATTCGAAAAAGCAAAATTGTGGCGAGGATAATGAGGTTTCAGATGAGAAAGTCGATAAAAGTGAATGTTTATGTGATAGTGTCGTGATGGAATGTTGCACTGAGGAATCCGAGAGGTTAAATCTACAAAGTTGTTTGGGTGATTTGACTCCTGAAGCCATGAATTACATCCAACAGTTGGAATCAGAGCTATCTACAGCCAAAAAGGTAAGTCGCTGTCTTATATGCATCTTTTCTTATGCTATCATAGAGCTTGAATCGGTTTTAATGGTGATTTCAATTTTCATTACCCTTTCTTCTCAGGAACTGCATGCTAGGAAGCAGGAGAATATGCAAATTGAAAACACAAGAGAAAGTGACAATGATCTATTGAAGTACTTGCGCTCATTGGATCCTGACATGGTAATTACAAATTTGCAATTACCCTAATTCAATCATTCATCCTTAAACTAATCCATCTTTCTTGAACAGGTGAATGAACTATCAAGACCATCATCTTCAGAGGTTGAAGAGGTTATACAAGAACTTGTACAGTGTACATCAAGAAAGTTCTTCAAGGAAGAAACAACAGAAAATTTGGACATAGGAAGCCAAGAAAATTACCCAAATGATAATGATAACTTCTGTGACACCATTGGGACTTCACGAGATTACTTAGCAAAGTTGCTTTTCTGGTTAGTGGATACATTTTATAAAAGCTATGATGGTGTATGATTATGAAATTAAACTTTAACAAATTTTGGTTTTTTGTAGGTGTATGCTAATGGGGCATCATTTGAGAGGGTTGGAGAACAGATTACATCTGAGTTGTGCAGTGGGGTTGTTGTGATAAAAGATAAAACAAGGTAGAAAGATTGTATATGCTTTTCCTTTTTTGAAATTTACTGTTTATACTTATTAAGATTACTACAAGCAAGTCATGATTCAATGCCATGTTCTTGATTGTATTTATCATGTAATTTAACTCATCCTCCATCCACTTAGGCCTACATTAGTAAATTTAAATCTATTGATGAATATAGGTTTACATACCAAAAACAAGACAGGTGTTAGGGTGTATTTAGTGTGCATAAGCCAACTTATTGAAATGTAGTGTTTGGTGAGATGACTAAAGTAGTTTATAAGCTTAGCTTTTTTAAAAAGTTGAGGCTTTTTCCACAAATTTTCTAAATATAGCCTTATATGTTATGTTATTTTAGATTTGTCATCTAGTTTATCAGCTAGTTATTACCAAACACTATTACTTTATCAGGTAGCTTATACCAGCCAATTTATCAGGCAAAAACTAGCTTTTTAGCCGGTCTGTCAAACACAATTGTATGTGTCTTATTTAGAACCTAGATCTCAATCAGGTCATTTGTTACGTAGGACATGATATGACATAAAGGTTTTTAGTATGTTTGGTATGCATTGGACTGGACTGAGACACTGGGCATGATAATTTACAAGTTTTTATCCTAAACAAAAGGTGAGAAAGAGATTGGTTGGTGTAAATGACATAAATGCCCTTCTTTATCAAGGGTGATAACCTAAAAAGTTAGACAAACTAGGGACATATGTAGAAGGATGGATATATGAACTTTTGTTTGTAGTATAAAATAGAAAATATATGTAATGGTAATACATACATCAATCACTATTTAAATAGTATTAATACATCATTAGTGGAGCTCTATGAAGATAGTGCCAATATGTGAGATTTTAATTCAATTTGATCTTGGAGTGGTCAACTTTGATGATTTTTAGGTTGACTTTTTAAACGGCACCAAGCCATCAAATATTGACCTACCACCGTTTGAAGTAGTCATCAAAAAATCATGATTCATGGGTCATTATTAAATTTCTGAAAGAAAGTGTTTTACCAACTTTTTTAGTAAACTAGCTTTTTAAAACCCATAATAACACGTTTTCTTGGAAATATCAGTTGTATAAGGAAAGAAAATTTAATGTGATTTATAGAAATAAGACATTCTTTATTGGAGGTGACAAATCAACAGTTGAGACGAGCTAACATGTCAAAATTAGTTATTTCTTGTGATGGTTGAAAAGGATCGGGATTGTATGTCCATTTCTATAAAAAAAAATAAAATAAAAAAATAAAATAGCTAAAATTACATAATAAAATGGGGTAAATAGGAGATGAGATGTATTGTGTTATCAGTTATTCTTCCATCCATGGATAGAGAGACTGATTCTATATGTGAAGTATAGTCACACACAATGGTGATTTTGAATTCATTGTCTGGACTTTCGACTAGAGTCTTCTCTTATATATATCTTTCATCTTGTGGCTCACAAATCAGTATTTTTTAGGCAAAGGTCTACTAGAAGCACAATTTCTTCTTTGATGTTTTTTATATACCGTTTATTCTCTTATCGTTCAAATACATGCACAATTCGAGTAAAAAGTTATATAAAATATTAAAATGAGAGAATTAGGTTCAATGCCTGTTATTATCAAAACATGAGAGAGAATGATAAGTTGAAACACTTGCACCAAACAACATTATTTGTGATGCTGTATTAGATTAGATAATTACATTTGAAATTAAAGATACTCACCAAAATGTTCATATTTGAACCATGTGATACCCACATGACCCTTTATTTATCGTTTACCAAAACAATGATCATCATTGTCTCGTTGACCATTCGTGACCAAGTTTTATGTCTAATATGTAAGAGATTAACACGGCTTATACCTTCAAGTGCCCAATCAACGTTTATTTATTTATTTATTTTTCTTGTTTTTTTTTGTGTGTAACAAACTACTTAAAAGTTAAAGCTTGTAGGATCTAAATATTAGTCGAGTGTGGTTGATGTTGGTTAATCATGTTTTAAGTAACTCATTCCAATCTTACAACTATGATCTTGCAAAATGAAAACATTCTTGATCTTAACAGCATTGCCTTAAACAATAACTTTACATATACATTTTCCAAAATAAAAACTAACCAAAAATACAATCTTATTCTATCATTCTATGCCCACAAATGAATCATACAAAAGAAAGACTAGTAAAATATGTCAACTTAGTAACTTACACCCTAATAATAATTGTGTCACCAACAGTTAAAAAATAGATAAAAAGTAGTAGTAGTAGTAAAAATAAGCTAAGTTCTGTACAAATCTAAGATAGCCCAACCTAAGAAAGAGCAGAGCTTCCAAGACTCACGGCGTCAACTAACAACAAACAAACAACCTTAAAAAAACAAACAACAATATCCTTCTATTTGCGATTCTTCTTCTACTGTTACAAACAACGTTAAACTTTCACAACATTTGATTTGACACCATTAAATTGACCAAAACACCCCCCCTATTTACACAACCCCAACCCAACATCTTTTCTTTTCTTTTATATATAAAATCTTCACAAACACCTGTATACATGGCTCCTCCCACTTGCTCTCACCTAAATTTCTTCAAAACAACAACAATATCAATATTCAATAATCAATAATACCATATATCCAAATTTAGCTTAAAAGTTAACATATTTTTTTTGTTTTTTTTTTTTATGTACCTTGTATTTGAATTTGATAGAGCATCAAACTGAGACTGAGGCTGTTGATAAGAATTTGTGAAATCTTTCTATTTTGGCTTGTTGACTATGTGAAGAAGATGATGATGATGATGCCGCCTTTCTTTGTTTTCTTCTTACTCGAAAGTAGTCTTCTGTATCCAGTACATATGATATCTGCCAAATTCATTATATGTCAAATTATGCTACATTTAATCGAAATGACCAAAATACCCTTTGATACCTTTGATGAGCTACAAGACATCTTATACTCCAATCCATTCACCACATCAGCACCTTCCATGGCAACTGTTATGCTTGAAGATTCATCCACATCCGAAAATCTTCTTTTATTTCTGCAAAAATAAATAAATAAATAAAAATAAAAGTAGAAAGTACATTGCTATTTCTCACATAAAACTATATAACATACCTGTTCATTAAGATGCCAGATTGTTTTTTTGTAGGAGCAACAGAAAGAAAATCTTTATAAAGATAAGATGCAAAATTAGGATCCACAGAAACAGCAACCACTTCAGGCTTTTCATTTCCATCATCCATCAATTGAACAGTCAAACGAGACGTGGGACCGGTCAACTGCAAATAAAAATAAATATCTTATTTCCAATATTTTATAATAATTTAAAAAAGAAAAGAAAAACCTACACATTGAAATCTGTAGATGTTTTCATCATGAAGAAGCACATGTGCGTTTTCATAGTAAACAGAGTCAATAAATTTCTCTGGTTTTCTTGATTTTTCATATTCGTATAATTGAAGAAGTTTGTTGTCCATTTCATCACCTGCAACACTTTGAAGCTGCATCCAAATCCAAATCCAAATCCAAATGTGAGTAAAAGTAAAACAACAATAAAATAATAATAATAATAAATTATTACCTGTTTAACAAGTTTATAAATTAATTTGTCCAAAGTGAATAACACATAAGATTGATTCCCTAAAATTGCACGACAATCGTCTTCAAATTTTGCATTATCAGCTGACCCATCAAGCAAGTTGTATAAAGCACTCATAAATCTGTAAATATTTTATTTAAATAAGATTTTAATTTAAGTGAAAATAAAGAATTAAAAAAAATGACCTTGAGTAGAGATCTGGAGAGGAAGTGTCCTTGTTGGAGCTTCTCCACTTTGTTTCAGCAGATGTTGAATTGAATTTTGCTGATGAAAGCCTTTCGTATAAAACCTGAAAAATAATTAAAATTTAAAAAAAAAGAAAAAGAAAAAAGAAAACATTGAATATTCTTACTTGATGAAGCCTAAAGAGGACATAAAAGCTATCATTCCCATAAAAGACATGCAAATCTTTTATTTCACCATTCTCACATAAAGGAGCTGCAACACGTTTTGCCAATGGCTTTGCAGTTGACAAAAACTGCTCAGACGGGGGCAAAATCGTCAAATCACCACCACCACCACCATCCTCCGCCACGCCCTCAGCCTCCCCTTCACTCTCTGCCTTACCATCACCATCACCATCAAGATCATCACCTTCTTCATGATCTTCCCGTGAACAATCATCAGCGGCTGACTCACTGCCGGAGACATCACCGCCACCCTCAGAGACATTCACACTGTCCTCGTCATCAGCCTCCCCACCACCACCACCCCTGTGTGAAGTGTTATCTCCATATGTGACGAAATTGCCCTCATCAAAATCATTATTTGGAGATAATTCGCCCTCTTCTTTTTCAATTTTAGCTGCTTCATTCAAGCCTCCTCCCTTTGCAGTTGTTATGAGATCCCGATGCTGTAGATTACAAAAATATACTAAATTACTTTTTTGCCCTTTTTTAATTTTGTAAATTATTAATGAATAAAGTCTTACCTGTAATGAAGGAATTTTGTCAATCTTAGATTTGGATTCATGAGCATCTTCATTAACATTATTAGGTCTAGAAGTACTTGCTTCACGCCCTGAAAACAAATTTCCAAAATTACCCTCCACCACAAATTTTTTAAAAAATCATAAATGTCAAGATTACAAACCAGATAAATCTACAGGACCAGAATCCAAACCCCAGGTTCCATTAGAATTTGACACTTTATCTCCATTCACCATGGTCTTTAATTCTTCTTCCTTGGTCAAAGTCAAACCATCTCCATTGACCAAACTGTTCTTGTTTGAATCTTGATCAGGTAATGTAGTTTGAGCCCCATTATCACAATCAGCATCTGGATTTCTATTAATTTCAGTTTTGGGAGTAACACTAACACCATGGCTTGATATTTCAGCATCTTCAACAGAATTAGGGTTTTGAGGGCGAAAAGGGACACCTAAAATTGGCTCCAAGAAAGTAGTCCATAGCCTTAAGACTTTGTTTAATTGTTCCTTTGAAGTGCAGATTTCTTCACATGAATATTTTATAAGTTTTAATAAGTCTTCGTGAATGTCTTTGTCTTTGAATTCATATTCAAGATTTGGAACTATGTAGTGGCGACTTCCAGCAGCAATACTCAATACAACATCATCATCTTTCTGGCTTTTTTCCTTTATTTCTTTGATTTCAGCCACCAATGCTGTTTATAAAGACAAAAAAGACTGTTTAAATATATAAAGATTAAAACTTGATGATACCCAAAGACGAAAAAGACTCTTTAAATAAATAAAGATTAAAACTTGATGATACCCAAAGACAAAAAGACTCTTTAAATATATAAAGAATCGAGTGTTTCCTAAAAAAATTAAAACTTGATGATACCTAAAGACAAAAAAGACTCTTTAAATTTATAAAGAATCGAATGTTTCCTAAAAAAATTAAAACTTGATGACACCCAAATCAACAAAATCAAGAATTTAAGTTTGTTTCAGGGTATGTGCATGCATACATACCCTGAAAAAAAAATTTGGTAGTGTGCTATAGTTTAAAAGAAAGGAAAAAAAAATGTCATTCAAATGCATTCCCTGATAATAATGTGGAAAATCTTGATTCTGCCACTATAAAAAAAAGGTCTTTATATTAAAGAAAATCATGATAAAGATTTTTTATTGTAGTATATGGTTGAGTCAAAAATCAAAACTTGATATCCAAATCACTGAAACCAAGCATCTAATATTTTTCAAAAGAAATAAAAACAATAAATTGTCATTCTAAACTTCTAATACATCCCCTGAACAAGATTTGTAATTGTAATGACTAATGAATGAAAGGTTGGGTCGAAAATCTTGCAAAGAAAAAAATGATTACTTACATTTGGTGCTGAGATTCTTTGAATCTTGTTGCTTGAAATAGAAGCTACGATGATCTAATGATTTGTAATGATTCTTTGCATATATTTCAGCCCACACTTTGTTAAAGTCAGACCTACACTTTGACCAATCTTCTTGTTTTTGTTTCAATCGAGTCAATATAACAGGTAATGCAAGAGATGGATTTCTTCTCAATATATCCATCACATCAAGCCCATGATCACCATATAAACGTTCAATACACCTCAAATCAAGAGCTACACATCAAACCATAACAACAATATTTCAACATAATCCCAAAATATATAAAAAACAAAAATTCGACATTTTTTATTACAAAATCACCTGTGAAATGCTCTTCAATACGAATGGGACCCTCTGTAGTGATTGACTTGTTGTTGATGTTGTTCAACAAATCTTCTGCACGTTTAGATGTTGAACTCACAGATTCCAATAACATATCCAGCTCAAACCTAGAATCATCATTGAAAAAGTTTGAAACAGATACTACATAAGATGCTAAAACTCATGCAAATGTAAGAATTAGGGTTTTTTTAGGGTTTACCTATCGTCCTCACATCTGAAGAGGCTTTCTTCATACTGGTTTCTACGCATGTGTTTGAAGGAATAATCTTCACTTCCAGAAGTTACAGATACCCAAAGATCATTAAGTACTTGAGATCCAAGCTCTGATCTTTGGCTTACTGAAGGTATTGGATACTAAAAAAGACCAAAAAAAAAAAAAAAACACACAATCAAATGATGTCTCTGATCTTTCAATTAGAAAGAAGAGAAAGAAAGAAAGACTTACATCATCAGGGAGAAGTCTGTAACTAGGTGTGCATCTTTGACAATTAGAAAGATCAAGTTCTTGAATAGATTTTCCCCAATATTTCTCTTTATACATGTCCTCTTTTGCAGCATCAGCTTCACGTCTATGTTCTCTCTCTTTCTCCTCTATTCTACTTGATTTAGAAACATGCCCTTCATTCCATAAAGCTTCTGTAATTCATAACATGTTACATGCCATGTCAGATTAGATGACATGAACAAAAATACAAAACCGAAATATCTGACAATTGACAAGAAGCAAGAAGAAAGACATACTTTTATCCATCACACCCGCAAGGAATCCATCTGAAAAAAATACGTATTAGTGAAAAAAAATAGCATAAAAGATTGTAAAAGAGTCATGAATGTCAAAAAAGCCACTTATCTGTATGTATTAGTGAAAAAGATAACATAAAAGAGTCGTGAATGTAAAAAAAAAAGGCACCTATATTTTCACAACGTTCCAAAAATGCACTGAATCCTTCCATAAGATCTGGATGCTTTCCGAGTAAATCTGAAACCTGAAACAAGAATTTTTTTTCCAATGTTTAAAAAATATTAAGAATGAAAGATCAAGGAATCGAAAAACAAGCATAAAAATACATACCAAGCTTTGTAACTCTTTCCTTGTAATTATTTCAGTGCTAAAGATATGTAGACACTTCAAGAAAGCTTGATAATCATCTGTATTGCGTAATCTATCCTTCACTTTCTCACAGAAAGTAAATTCTTGGCTATATAAACCTATAAAAAACAAATCCCATAAGTTCTTTTATTGAGATATTTAAAAACTCCTCAACTAATAAAAGAAAGTTACTAACTTTTAAGGGCATCTTTATCATCATATGGAGCCAAACCCGAATTCACTCCAAAATCTTCAACTTTTCGTGCAGATTTTCTTTTTTCAAGATGTTTCATGTCCCTATTAGCATCAATATCAGGCTCTTTAAAATCTTGATCACGATTTCTTCTATCTCTGATTTCTTTTTCAGATCGTTTTCTTTGCTCCTTGTGAAGTTTCATCATTGTTTTATCATCTTCCATTTCATGACCTTCAACACTTGGGTCCCGCTCACCATGTGGAGGAATAATCTTATCTCTCCTCCCTCGTTGCTAAAAACATGTAAACATTTAGTCCTTTGAATAAAAGATTACAAAGAGTAAACAAATGTAAAAGCTACTTACTTTATCTATTTGTGTATGCCTTAGAGGAGCCATAGCTGAGCTTCTTTCATCATATCGGTTGTAAGATTGCCTTAGAAATGAAGCTTGATGTGCAGATGCAGCAGCAGAAGCATCAGGTAGAAATCTTGTAAATTCATCAAGAAGATCAGGATGATCATCAAAAAGAGTGGCAACCTGTGTAAATTGTAATATAAGATTATAATATATGATTCTATGTGAATTGTGACATGAAATAGGTGTAGAAAAGAATATAGAATTTTACCTCATGGTAGACTTCATTGATACCCTTGTGTTCCTTTCTATACATATTCAAGATGTCTAGAAACGACTTGTAAACATGATCATCATTTTGGAAACGTTTCTGGACAAGAGAAGAACAGGGTTAGAAATTAGAATGTATACATATAGAAAAGAGATAATCTTTTTAGAAATAAGAATTATTGATTTCACCTTTATTTTGTTTACAAAGCTTATAGCTTCCTCAAACTCTATGGTTCTTTTTGGTGGAGTTTCATCATCTTCAATAACTGTAATTTCATAGCCTTTTGGCAAGAAAGTGTTGAACCCAAATATAAGATTATTATGCCCTTTAAACAATTCTTTCACTCTTGCTATGACTCCAGTAGTATCAATTCTGCATAAGGTAAAATGTCAAATTGAGATGCATGTTGAATTGTTGATGTGAAAACAACTACCATTTCATTTTGATTTGTATGTACCTTTGAGCTTTAAAGTCTTTCATAACATCAAGAAACATGTCGTATTTTTCTCTTTGATCTTGAAACATGTCCTTAACCTCTTTTAGATATGTCAAAGCATCATTTGTAGTGAGTTTTTGGGCACTACTAGCACCTCCTCCACCACCTACCCCTCCTGCTGCTTCACCTCCTCCTCCTCCTCCCCCTCCTCCAGGGATTTGGGGTTGCCCATATCTTCAAGATGAAGAAGAAAAATGAAAATCAACCCTTTTAGCAAAAATAAATAATTAAGAAACTCACATTCAAACACCTGGATATGGGACAAATCCTATATGATTTCATGGAGATACTATCAAATGGAATGCTCTATCTAATTATTCATGAATAAGATTCCATGACTGATAGAAAGAGATTCGAATTTACTCTATCCCTCTATCCACTAGCTGATCTAATAATCTTATAATCTTAAGCCCTGAAACCTAAAAAGGACAAGAAAAACACCCTACCAAGGGCATAAATTTATCATGCATAAAGAGCATAAATTTATCACTTATCGTCAAGGTTTATAGGCTATAGCTGAACCAATAAAAGTCAAAACGAGCAAAGTCAAATCATAGTTCGTGCTAGATGTGATTTCAGAAGCCAGTTATCCTGATCATGCGTTTTTTCAACTAACCCCATAAAAGTACAAGCAGATTCAAATTCAAAGGCAATTAGGCAAAAAGTGCATATTTGCATGAAGCAGATAAACCAATAAGATCAGAAACGCCTCTCGAATCATCACAACACATGAATAATCCACACAACCAGACAAAGAATTTAACAAATAACACCACGAAATTGAAAGAATTTAAAGACTAGAGCATACGATTCTCCACGAGATGAACCAAAAGGTCGCTTAATTTGAGAGTTACTAAATACATCATCTCGTAATCGTTTCATATCTGCAAAAGCAAACCACAAATCAAGATTGTTTGTAGATAAGCGTAAACCACAAACAAATTGCAAAGATAGCACCGACTAAATCTGTTTTATAATATCAACAAATTATAAGGAAGACAAAAGGCTAAACCTGTGAAGTAACCCTCGAAGGAGGGAAATTGGGCAGATCTAAGCACCCAACGAAATCAAACAAGTTGAATCACCTTTAGATCGAAGTTTCGAAACAACAATTACTTGTGTAGCAAAAACAAACCAGTTTGAGAAGAGATACCAAGAGGTACAACAACAAAAAAGAGATGAAGAAATTTGTGCATTGTGCGTGTAATTGTAATCTAATTTACGTGACGCCATTTATATAATTTTCATAATATGAGGGGCTTTATATATCTACTAGAATTTCTTGAAAATGGGCTTGTGTACATTTGACAATCAAGGATCAAGTGTTTCCTTTTATATACTTGGGCTTTTAGTACACACAAACTTGCCCTAATTCATGTCTAGGGTTCATTTTCACTCTCTTTAAGGATTATGCTAATGGGCTAATGGCAACCAAGAAGTCCAGCTGTTGGTGTATTAGATAATTAGAAGTGCACAAACATCTTATTTCGAATCGGATGGATAATCCGGTAAATGTTTATCCGGATTTGGCCCATGAATATTAAATTGGTATGTTGGGATTTGGATTTGTTTTTTTTTTTTTTTTTGCAAAATAACCATTTATTTTTAACATGTTATTTTCGGAGTATGATTCTGGATTTCGAACTTGATGATCATTTTGGAGTGAGATAACAACTTAAGCTTCCAACACTACATTGAAAGATCATTTCACAATGAGATAAACAAATGCATTACAATAACACATAATCACAAATGCATTACAATAACATATAATCAAATGCATTACGATGAAAAATGAAGATAGCTTAGTTTGTATGTATGTATGAGACGTTTCATACGCATATAACCAAATCCATTACAAAATGTAGCATAAATAATACATACTAATCAATTACTGAAAATATATAACCAAATCCATTACAAAATGCAGCATAAATAATACACACTAATCAGTTACTAAAAAATATATAACAACAAAAATAAAGAAAGAAATATTTTCAGATATGACCAAACACATTACAATATAATATGCAACATAAACATTTAAACCCTAAACCATAACAAAATACAATGAAACATTCTTTAAAGCTAAAACATAAATCATGATTAAATACAATACCATGTATAGGCGCATCTGGTCTACATGTATTTGGTTACTTATGGCTAAAATATTTGTTATTTGTATGCCTTTTGCAATAGATGTTTGGTGTAACATCCGGATTTTCAGGTATGTTATTTTTAATTATTTATTTTTGAGGATCATTGATCTACTCGACGAGTTGGTGCTATAACTCGTCGAGTAGAAGCGGGGTGGTCACGCGAGTTTAATGAACTACTCGACGAGTCCAAGAGTAGACTCGCCGAGTAGGCGCTGTAAGTGGAAACCCTAGATCCCCAGGTTTGGGGCCTATTTAAAGGCACTTATAGCCTCATTTGCGGCCACACCTCTCTAAGAAGAAACCCTAATCGCCCCTTGAGCTTGTGAGAGAGTCTTGAGCCTTACTTGAGATTGTGAGTGCATTTTGGTGTGATTTTGCAAAGGAAAAGAAGGGTTCCAGCAAGAATGACCAAAGGAGGTTGTCATTCTGAGGTCTTGGAGCAAGGAGCTTCACCTTGAGGTAACAAATCGGCCCTCTCTTTCTGTATGGTGTAGATTGCATGAATCTAGGGTTTCTTGACCCTTGTCTTCAAAGGATTTTGGAGTATATGAAGTCCCTTTGTGGAATAAGCATTAGATCTGGACCTTAAGAGGTCCAGAGAGTCCCAACCTTCCAGCTTTATGCAATCCCTGTTGGATTAGTGTCTAAGCCTGTAACCATATTTGGTAAGTACTTGACCCGATTGTGCATGGTCCTTTTGGGTTGCCTTCACCAAAGCAACTTAACTGGAGAAATAATAGAGAAAGAGGTTATTATGATTTATTAATATGTTATAAGAATAATATATTAAAGGAGAAATCATATTTGTTTAATTAATATCGGTCAATAATTAATTAAGAATTAATTTTGTGATCAAGTGTAATTAATTAAACTAAAGGGGCTGAATTGTAATTATGTGATAGTTACAAAATAGGGTAATGATTATCCTTGATATGGGTTGGACGAATTCAAGGGATAAGATATCCTTGAAATAGTCCAAAGGATAAAGGATAAGGGATTTCAAGGCTTATCTTATGATTGCTTGGTGGGCAAGCAACTAGATAAGGATAAGGACTGAAACCCTAATCTCTACACCTATATAAAGACCCCTAAGGCTCATGAATTCGTCCATGCCTTCCCAAGGGGTCCTAGGGACGAAAATCTATACCTCTTCCCTCTCTCTATTACCTCTCCATTTGCTCTTGGTGTTTGTGAGCCATTAGAGGTACTACACTTGTGGTACTTGCTTTCAAAGACAAGAAGATTCAAGATTTAAGTTGTTATTACAATATAACAACAAGAGGTATGTAATCTAACCTTTTTGGTTAATTTCGAAATTCCTAGAAGCCTTTTAGGGTTCTTCAAGTGTTCATAATGTTGTGTATCTAATAGTGAAAACATATATCCAATTCTAGGGTTGCATGCACACATAGGATTGTTTGTACAAAACCCATCAGTGGTATCAGAGCCATTGGTTTTTGTTTTCAATTAGCATTATACAATTGTATGACCTTGACATATTAGGGTTTATTGCCAATAAACCCTAGGAGGCAAGAAATTTCGAGATTAGGGTTTCTATACCCTAATTTGCGAAAATTTGAAAGGGTTTTCAAATCCTTTCCTTAAGCCTCAAGATTTCGAAATCTAGGGTTTGAAAAACCCCATGATTTTCGAAATTAGGCTCCTCCCCTAGATAAGATCCTAAATTTTAGGGATTTGGATTATCCTATATCTTGTAATTATCCTTTAATGGTTATATATGGTAATTAAAGATTTTGAATTATCCTATCCCATGATTTTCGAATTTTAGAGGGATTAAAAGGATTAGGATAAATTAATTGATTAATTGGTAATTATCCTTCACGATTTAGATAATCCCTTATGATTTAATAATTTAAATTAATAGTTTAATTCAAGATAATTATTAAATCAAGAGTTTTAATATTTAAAATTTTAATTTAAATAGTATTAAATTTCGAAAATTTTAAAGTGAAATTAAAACCTAATTGTTTTGAAAAGTTTCAAAACTTGCCCTCAAGTTTTGGAATTTAAATTGTTTGATTAAAAGGTTTAATTTTGAAAAAGTCTAAATTCTAAAACCCTAATTTTGAAAAGTTCATATTACACCCTTATGGTTTTATTAAATTAGTTAAGTGCATAACTAAAAGAGAGTTAATAAATCCATAATGATATGGTTTATATTTAATTAAATTAAAAGTGTAATTTATAAAATTAAACCACCTAGTATTTTAAAAGTGTAAAATACACCCTTATACTATATATATATATAACATTGAAAGTCTAATATTATATATGTATAACTAAAATGTTAGTCTTACCGTTAGTAGGCCTCATTCACAAAGCCGATCTATAAGGGGGGTATAAGGTTATGGCCTATAAAATGGCCGTTTAATGGGTGTCCACTCTCACCCACCGCTTCCTTGATTGGTGGAGGGTCGTTAGCCGAACGGGTAGGATAGGACAAACCCTTTCCATTAAAAGTATAATGAAGTATAAAGTAACTAAATGTTTTTACAAAATTCCCAATCTTAGTTACTTTAGGCAAAAGTGAATTGATGCAATCCCATGAAATTACACTTTGTGCCCTTGCAAAGACGTTAGTGGAGCGCGTGTGGTTAACCGGCACACTAAATGGTTCTAAGCAAAGGTAGCAAAGGATGACTCATTGTTTGTCATAGTTCGGTGGAGCGTGTGTGGTTAACCGGCACATCGAATAGGTGATTGTAACATTGGGGGCACCATGTAAGTTTGCATGGTTATTCACACCCTGTTTTGTGATCCTCGGCATCCCAGTCACAAAGCGAGGGGCATATCGAGATTTAAACATGCCATTGAAAAGTTCAATGAATCTCAAAAGATCTAGGAATTTTCAATAGATTTAAAACTTAAATTTCTTTTTCGTTTTTCAAGGTGGAAATTAGTGAATCGTCATTCACTTACCTTCAAATGTTCTGCAATTTGGGTTACGGCATCCCTCTCCCAAATTGTAGAGTATTGTGTTGGGTCCTAGCCTTAATATCTCATTTGGGTGATTTATTAAGGATTCAATCAATCAACTAACTTGAATTTTTCTCCCGTTTTGTAGATGTCAAAGTATGACAACTATGGTCTTCCCAAATCTCGTGGAACAAGCTTTTCACATGAAGATGATATTCCATGATTCGATCGGGGAACAAGAGATCATGCTTCACTTCCTCCACCTCCTCCTATTATTCTCCCTAACCCACAAGTTCAAAAGATTGAAAAGTTCAAACTCACTCAAGTCCTTTTGGCAAGTAAACATGAAGAAGGAAAGTCAGTGTGTGCACACGTCTTAGAGATGAAGTCACACATTGATAGGTTAAGAATGTTGGGATATGTTGTCTGTGAGGAGCTGGCTGTTGACTGGGTCCTTCAGTCACTTCCTGATTCATATAGTGAGTTCGTAAGAGAGTACTATATGATGAACCACGACGTAACCCTCATCGATCTCACCTATATGCTTATTGCTGCTGAATCAGTAATGATTTGGCGCACTAAAAAAAAAGGCAAAGTTGATTGGTGAATCTGCCTTCCAGACCTCTATGGATATAGGCAATGGCAACGAGAGGCATGCCATGATCAAAAAGTTTGATCATAAGAGAAGGCAAAGTCAGAAGTAGTTCCGTGTGCTGTTCCAAAAGAGTCAATTTGCTTTTATTGCCAAGAGAAGGGACATTGGAGACGAAGCTGCCCTAACTACCTGAGAAATCTAAGAGATGGGAGAGTCAAGATGCATGGCTCTACTTCAGGTAAAATCCATTAACTAACTCTTTTAAGTTCCTATTCTAGATTCATAATACATTATGTAATAAGATTACATTTTGATGTTTTATAGAATCGAAGAAAAGAGAGGAAGCTTAAGGGAAGAAGTGAGCTGAATCTAATCGTGAAGAAATGGATTTCGATCGCATTGCTTGAAGATTAGAATTTTGAGCTACTACTTGGAGTTAGAATAGATTGCTATGAAATATGTATTAACATATTTTTTCAATTAAATTGCATTGTAAGCACAAATT